CTAATATACTGATACTATATATAATCAGAGACGAGCAGCAGAGTGACGAGAAATGAGAAACGACGAGATGGTGGTGGGGCGGGGGGCGGGCACGCGGAAAGAAGAGAGAGCGAAGCAAAGTATTAATGTGATGTACGCATACTTTGCTCGCTCTCTCTTTCGCGCTAATCCCACTGCATATAGTATATAGGGAGCAGAGAGAGAGAGAGAGAACGAGACTGAGCACGACGAGCGTGGAGAGAGAGGCGCTGAGCGACGGGCCAGAGGCGGGAGCGGCAGGTGCCCTGTGCTGTGCTGTGATCGTGCGTCGGCGTGAAAGAGAGAGAGCGAGAGAGGGACGCGAGCTGACCGGGTGCGTGAGAGACGAGCGACGAGCGCATGAGGGCTGCGCGATCGCTAGGCATCCTGGGGGATGACAGACGACGCAGAGCAGTTCTCAGCACACTGCTACAGATGTTAATCGCCTGCTCCGAGCGCCATACTGCAGCTTGTCTAAATTACATAACTCATAGCAATACAAACGATCAAGTTAACACAAACCTGAGTTTGGCGACGGAGGGGTGAGGGGGCAACCGCGTCAGAGGCCCGGCGAACAGGTTTACGGTCAAGGACACGCGAAATCCTCACTAGGAATTTCCGGCGCGTGCCTTGAATTGATAAGTAGCCGATAGACTTCACTACAGCGACAAACTTCTAATTATGAAGTTCACTTATGGAGAGATGAAGGTCACTGCTAGCCTGTAACATCACACTCAATGTAACACTTGAAGGTCATGGATTTAAAGAAATATCAGATCACCTCGAGATAATTTTATTCTATTTATCCTGAATAGTTATATAATTATATCAATACTAACCTATACGTATATATATATATAGGCTGATTAGCTACCTATCATATAGATATATATCATAATATTAATATTATATTATATTACATATTATATACTACTATATAAAATTCTTATTCTCATCTAATTACTATTTCAGCTTCGTATGTGATTATGTATGTCCCCTAGTGCCTGTCGGCTCAAACCACCCAAGCGCATGTGGATGCAAGTTTCAGAGGCGGCCGAATTCCTGATACCAGAAAGTGTTCGCCGATATATATATATAATATATATATACATATACATATATATACGCTAGGGAATGTGTCTGTCTCATGCACCAGGCATGTTAAACCGTGTTCACACCTTCTACAATCTACATATATGCAGGGGAGTGGTGAAGTGGTAAGTTTGTCAGGGTGGTGTCCATCTATGAGATTCACCACCTCTAAGTTGTATGAGCTAGTTGAATGAGATGCATGACAGCTATAAATTTCAGTAACGTTGCTTGAGTGCGTGCGTTGCATGAGAGATGGGGAAGATGAAGAAGTGGCATAGCCACGTTATGCCCGGTGAAATATCGTTGACCCCTTGTATTAACAAAATATGTAACTGTATCATGAAAGACTTGCATGTTCAGCAGTCAGCTTGCCTTGTAATTCTATTGTGCTTCACGATGGAAAAATGACGTTTGATTGCCCCCCTCCCACTTAAAACACGGCACCGTTGTGACAACTTGACACGCACTGGATTGTATGGGCATATGTTATGCGATTTTAATTGCTACACAATACGTCGGACGTACAATTTCGATAATATTCAGGGCTGAAATTGAATTAATTTTCACATTTGTATGCGAGTGCAAGAGGGGTGACGTCACGTGTGTCGCTACGCACAATGGTGTTACACGCTTTTTATGTGGAATAATGGCTTGAGCGCACGCAAATGATTCCACGTTTGTCGTGACTATAGTTATGTAGAAATAAGCACCGTTTTGCTACGCACGAAGCTGTCACAATGCCTTTTAATCGGTGTAAATGGGCTTTAAGTAATGCCTACGATTTTACGTTTAGCAGTGACTGTAGTGAGCGTTGGTGTAGCGACGTTGGTGATGCGGTGTTTGTACTGCTCGTTTCCTGTGTGTGTGGGAGGGAGGAAGTGTTCTTATGCAGTGTCGGTGTCTTCTATCAACAACAAAGACAACGCAGTAGTGTGTGTTGAATAGGGTTAGCTGCACATCCTGCAGGTGTGTGTGTGTGTGTGTGTGTGTGTGTGCGCGCGCGTGCATGCGTGCGTGCATGCGTGGGTGCTTCCTTTCTATGTAGTGTGAGTCACGGGGTGAAACCTGCCGATGTCTGTTATCGCAATATAACCCTGTTATCGAAATAACCTGCACGTAACTAGTGTCGTGTAGCAGTGTCAACTCATACATAACGCCTATGATCGGGGAGGGAACAATTGGTGTGTTAGCTTATTCAGAAAATCCCACCTAACTCCCCCACACCACCTTACTCTGTACATATCACCTCACTCCCCCCCCCACCTTGCTCTTTCCCCCAGCTCACTCCACTACACATCACCTCACTCCCCCCACACCACCTTGCTCTCTCCCCCAGCTCACTCCACTACACACCACCTCACTCCTCCACCCACCACCTCACTCCTCCACCCACCACCTCACTCCCCCACCCACCACCTCACTCCCCCACCCACCACCTCACTCCTCCACCCACCACCTCACTCCTCCACCCACCACCTCACTCATCCACCCACCACCTCACTCATTCACCACACCTCACTCCCCCACCCCACCACCTCACTCACTTCACACCCACCTCACTCCCCACCCACCACCTCTCCCAACATCATCCACTCCACCCCACCTCACTCTTCCACCCCCCCCACACCACCTCACACTTCACTCCACCCACCACCTCACTCATCCACCCCCACCACCTCACTCCCACCCATACCTCACCACCCCACTCACCTCCATCCTCCACCCACACCTCACCCCCCCTCCCCACCCACCACCTCACTCCACACCACCACTCACTCACACCCACACCTCACTCCCCACACCACCTCACTCCCACCACCACCTCACTCCTCCACCACCACCCACTCCACCTCACCTCCCACCCACACCTCACTCACTACACCCACATCCCCACCCACCACCTCACTCCTCCACCCACACCTCACTCCCCACACCACACAACCTCATCCCCCACCACCACCACTCCTCCAACCACCCACTCCTCTCACCACCACTCACTCCCCCCATCACACACACAACCTCATTCCCCCACCCACCACCCACCTCCACACTCCTCCACCCACCACCTCACTCATCCACCCACAACCTAACTCCCCTTCCCTTCACCCAATGTAGTTCTCAACACACTCATTCATGCGCACGCACACGCACACGCGCACTCATGGTTACGCACATGCGCGTACACGCACACGCAGAGCAAATAATTATGCACGCCCATAGCACAAGGCGCACATGTGGATTCTTTAAAAGGCTCGTCTGTTTAAAGCGCTCGCTCTGCCGGTCAAAATAAAGGTGCAGCCCCATGCAATTAAAGGTCCCATTGTCGCACCGTGTGTGAGCGCCTATGTGTGTGTGTGTGTGTGTGTGTGTGCTTTAGCAGGGTCTGCTAGCCATGCTGCTGCTGCTGGCGGCGGCTGCTAATGCTGCTGTTGCTGCTGTTAATTATGATCCTTGTCTGTCATTACTACAGCTGCCAGCTGCCACATATCGCTCCTAGGGCTTACCCCTGTGTGAGGCTAATCCCTGGGCGATTGTTGCCCCCCCCCCGATTGAAGATGCTGCCTGAATGAGGCTAGTCGTTGGATGGTACTGTGGCCTAAATAAGGCTAGTCGTTTGGTTGGTATTTGCGCCTAAATGAGGCTAGTCCTTGTGTAAACAGGAATGATGATATAAATTCAAACTTGCGTTGTAACTGGCAGGTACTTGTGCCTAAATGAGGCTAGTCCTCATGGTTGGTACTAGTACCTGAATGAGACTAGTTGTTGGTGGTACTGTGCCCAAGTGAGACTAGTCGTTGGTTGGTACTTGTGCCTAAATGAGACTAGTTGTTGGTTGGTACTTGTGCCTAAATGAGGCTAGTCCCTGAATAAAGCTAGTCGTTGGGGGGATGCTAGTCGCTGGATGAACCTAGTGCGTGACTGACGTACTCAGGATCGTGTAGATTGCCAGAGACGTAGCAATAATGTCAATGTCATGCCATCCAGCAGCACAAAGTTAATCCAGCGCATAGCTACTAGACTGCCACTGACAGTATTTATAGCAGCACAGCCTTTACTGTAGCAGATGGCCAGCCGGCCAGCCGAACGTGCGATACTTATTGAAAATCTCTTTTTTTTTCATTGCTATTTAGTGAAAACGGAGGACTACTTCGACTCATGCATCATGGAGCGATTGCAGAGCCATCTGGTGGACACCAACGTCACTCACGGCTACGTGGGACATCAGCTTGGCCGTTCCCTCACATTCCACGGCATTGTAAGTACAATGCTGGAAGGGGAGGAAATTAGCTTGAGAGGGGTTTCGTTAGTCGCGTTGACTAAAACACGCACACACACACACACACACACACACGCACACACACACACACACACACACACACACAACACACACACACACACACACACACACACACACACACACCATATACATACATGCACATGTATGCATCTATGCACACAGAGTACACACACGCATCTACACATGCACTGACAGTGATGCACGCAAAAGCACTTACGTATCCTGTATTTATTGCTAATCATAGACTATCCGTCTATCAATATCATGTAATTTTATCTATACATGTATCAATAATGTTAATTCTGCGTTTGCGATTCGAATTGCGTTTTAAATACACAAATTTAACACGGTTACTTCGCGGAAGGTGTTATATCTTGCTACCATCAATAACATGACTAGCTAAAAAAAAACTACACAGGCAGCATATGTTCTTGCGTGCTATATATGAGGGATGTCGTATAAAAACAGCCGATGGTTAGATAGGTAATGGGAAACAAAATATCTCACGCTGCAACTCAACCAATCAAAATGTGTCGTTTTGAGATCGAGAGGTCGACGAAAAAAATCGATCAATCAGATTGCTTCGTGAAAGCGCGGTTGCATCAATGTGATGGGAGAGCCTCCGTAGTACAGTGTAAACATTGGTAGCAGTTTCCTCCATAGAATGAATACCTGCCTATAAAGGAACTTTTGCCATTACCCTTGAACTGCTTGTTATATACAGGTTTGACTCTACTTAAGGAGCAGGGGTCAGAAACATCGTCAAGTTAATGCTAATGTTAAATTGCTAATGCTCGATAAACACTTACGACTAATTGTTAATGTTACGAGAGGAGCGTGACAGAAACACATCTCAGCTATTAGAAAACTACATAACAGGAACTTCATCACAATGCTGCTGATGAATGAGAATCTATCACAAAATTCAAATTCATACACATTTATTACACATTACCAGTTATTTATGCCATATTATGATGGCTAACCACATGTAAATAATATTTGATGAAAACGACGTCGGTCATTAATTTATTCTGCACAACAAGACAAATTCTCACACTGTACACGGGACGCGAGAGTGTGCGAGAGTCGTGGCAAAGTAGTTAGACCACATGTAAATGCAGTGCTCGAAATAAGAAAAAAAATGTGGTTGTTTCCTGCGGACAACCCAGGCCATCAAATCGGCGTTGGTCCGCGACAATTTCTGGTTGTTCCCAAAAAAATATCCCAAATCTCCTCTTCTTCAATCACATAATAAATTAATAATATGGTCAGAAAAAACCCAAAAACAGTGGTGTAGCCAGGATTTTTAACAAGCGGGGGGGGTAAAAACAGCAAACTGCGCAAAATAGTGGATGACTTAATACTTTTAATGGCTCCTCGTCTCCCTCTCACATCCTACGGCTCCTCTACCTTCTCTGCAATCTTTGTTGCGTGCCATGCGAAAAGGCGGACATTTTTTAGTTGATTGTCTCTGCTCCCAGATATGAATTGTTCAGTGGCGGATTAGGATTCAGGGAGGGGGTGAAAAACAAGCGGGGGGTTGGGGGTCCTCCCCAGAAAATTTTGAAAATCGAGATCGCAGGAGATGGTATTTTGCGGCACTTTTGAGTACATATTACAGCCTTCATTCTTGACTACGACAATTCTCTTTTTTTTAACTTTCGGATCAACATTGAATCCCCACTGTTGTTTGTTTTGCAATGGGCAAAGCCATTCGGAAATTCAAAATAAATAAATGGAATAAAATACCAAAATGTAAGGGTGAACTTGCTGGTTTGCTGGTTCAATCGAATGTTGAATTCATCTCATCATAAATCAGAAAAACCTGAAACATATACCAGTGTTGGACATAGCAGCTGGTATTGCGTTGCCTTCCCACACCATAGATTAATGGCGGTGCCACCAGGCCTATAAGTGCCTTCTTGGAGAACCCCTGAGCAAAACATAAATAAAGTTGCGTTTTTTCGTCACATCTTTCTTGGGTTGTCCACCGGACAATGTCTCAGACTGGTTTAGGTTGTCCGGCCGCAAATTCTGCGTTGGCTCGCGGACAACCCGCGGACAACGCTTATTTCGAGCACTGAAATGTAGTCTAACATGTGTAGTCCCACATGTGTGGGACAGTAGCCTCTAGGATTTTACTGCATACAACTGTACTTACTGAGTTACTGTATAACAAATCGTCTATACCTACACGTATTTGTTACCAGATACCTAATTTAATTGTTATAATTAATTACACATCAACGCTACGAAATTTGAACGGCGCCATGACACCCGCAACCGTGCTGCCACCCCGAAAAAGTTGCGTATTTGACATTTCACTCGGCACGTTACAGACCGAGGGCTAATCACAAAAGTGCAATTATATTTATACCTAAATGCTATTTAACCGAACGATATTCATTTTAGGGCAAATTTATCCATATTATAACTGAAACTATATGTCGTTTATACGATATTACAATCCTTTGGCTTTTAAATTAATAAATAAGAAACACCCTCGGTCTGTAGCCCTTGGCTGGAAAGTGGTTTTGCGCAACTTATCAGATCGTGCGCTTTGAGTGGCGCCACCGTCGTTGTAATCAAACTGTAGTCGTTAGTTTTAAAACATTTTTTAATAATATTTCTAATGGTGATTGAACTATGAAACTTTTTATGTAGCATAATTTTAACCTAAATTAACTGAAAATAACCCTAGAACCTAGAGTAAATGATCCCTTTAAAGCAAGAGAACAAATGTCATACGCCATTTGTAAATGTATTGTTTTGTTTTATTAGCGGTAGATAATTAATGATATTGACGTGTTTTTCAAGAAAAACACATTTTTAGCTCGCCTTGACATCGTCAAGCTGAGCTATTGCCATGGGTCGTCGTCCGTCGTACGTCCGTCCGTACGTCCGTCGTACGTCCGTCCGTACGTCCGTACGTCCGTCCGTCCGTCAACATTTGGCTACGGTCAACGATAACTCAGGAACCGTTTGACCCACATGTTTGAAATAGAGTACCGAAGTGTGACGTCACGTTGTCAAGACAACATACGGGCTGGTTCTACACAATCCACTGGCTCCATAACATTAACTGCGTGAAAATGTTGTGCGTACGTAAAACACGAGTGTGTGCGCTGCAGACAGCTGTAAAGCATCGGTAGCAAGTCGATCTTACAATATTTAATGAATTAAAAAAAAATTTAAATTTATAAAAACTGCAATAATGACTCTCAGAATGATATTTACAATCGGGTACAAAACACAACACGCAGTTAATGTTACCAGAGCATATGATTGTGTAGAACCAGTAGGTTCGTTGTCATGCCACCGTGACGTCATCACTTCGGTACTCTATTGGGTATAGTTGTTACTGCTATGCTCCCATATTAAACGTCCTATTTTGGAGCACGCCAGTCGACGTACTTTCGAGCCACGG